AATTTTTTTTTTTTTTTTTCATACATTTATCGGTCATTTTAAATGTGTGCGTATTACAACATGTATTTCTTATAAACACCCTTATTTTTTGCCGGTACATATACTCATCTGGTAATATGTGGGCTTACGCAGAGTCTTTTGGCGAAGGTATTTTAATTATTCAACCTGCATACATACAGCTATAACAAATTTTTAAAATTATAAATAGAATATATGATATTATTTTTCATAAACTTAAACAAAAAGAGAACACATTTTTGCTACCGATTATTCTAGTATGTATATAAATTGTAATGCATTATTTTATAGGTAATTAATCTTTAGTCTGGTAGATACGCGGATGATGGCCTCAACACACTATATTTATTATTTAATTACCAAAGATTTTAATCCTCTACTGAAATATCCTTCAAACTAATTGGTTAATTTTTTTGTCTAACCATTCACATTTACAGTAAATATATATATATAAATTTTCTTTTTAGTACAACACACGTACAACACTCGAAAAAGTATTTATAACATAATACACTGAATCAAGTGTTGTTTTCTACGTGAATATTCAATTCAGTCCTTCGACTTTTACACATTTTCATATACAGGCTACACGAAATTCTACATAGCTAATGACTTATTTGCTGTTGCATTGCATGTAATCCTCATCGGTATCTATTTTTCTTTTACAATAAAAGTGTATCGTATTTATATATAATAACTTGAAATTCAATACAAAAATGATATTTAAAAAACAATATGATGTACGATAGAAAAACAGACGTCGACTATTGACGTTGGCTTGCTGAACGATAAGCGACAAGTGAGGGCTGATTTTTGCCGTAAAAATTAAAAATCATATCCACTTGGTACACCCAAAGTACGAATAATAACAACAGTAATGTTTAATTAATCTCAGTATACAACAACACCAGAACACTGTGGAAACGACCCCCAAGTATTAAATTGTTTGAATCTCTCGGGTGCACAACTATAGTTTGTATTTTCCACCTTTTTTTTATGCTTTCGCTTCATCGCCACCATCGTCAACTTCCATTGAAGAACACAAATCAGTCGACCATCGACGCAATTCCTCTCGCTCGCTTGAAAAACAATTTCCACATCCAACGGTGCACCGAACAAAAGTCACACGCTACAGTAACTATTACAAGTAATTGCTACATTCCAAATTGTGCATGTTTTTTATTTTTTTATTATTCCATCTCGTCATCTTCTTCCGTAGATCCGATGCGCGAAGAAAATTGACTCGTAACATTATAATTATGCGTACACGTGGATTTAACGCGTTTCGCTGCGACGATCGCTTCAAAGCGCGTACTGGACGCGCTTTCAGCTGTTCCACTGTCATCCGCCCGGCTGGCGCTCTGCCTCTGGAATAATAAAAAAAAAAAAAAGGTGGTCGACAGACCTTGTTTTTAACAACAAGCATCGGATGAGTATCGGCAGCTTTTCGTTCGAGAGGAGTCACCAGTCAGTTCTTTTTGGGCAGTCGATGCGCTCTTGTAAACATGCACGCACATCATATATGTACACCTATTTCATACATGTATGTGTATACTTAAATAATTGGTGAGCAATAAACGTTTACGGATCCATTCACTCGAATCACCGGAATTCTATTGGAACGTTTTGACGGTTGCTGTCAATGGAACAATTATCATAAGGTATATAAACGCGGTATACCTCATCAAGACTCCCAAATTCTGCTGACCGAATGGCTCCACTGAATCACAATTAGCCTTTAAATCTCGTTAGAAAAGTCTTTTTGTTTTTACGTTGTAATGAAACCGGTAACGTACGCACACATACTTTTGATCAGTGAAAACAAAAAAATTTTAAAAATAATCGCCAATTGCTTCGTTTTTTTTTTTTTAATTCTATGAAAAAATTTGGGAGCAGCTTCATGAGGCTTACATAGATCATAGTTATAATATTCCGCAGGAAACAGTATTGTCTAACGAGATTTAATTGCAATTACGACGACTCTCGTGATTGCATATCAGCTGTATGGCAGTGCATTTATGTTTAATGAACTTATAAATATTTGCAGTTTATTATTTAAATTGGATGCTCGTGCAGTGGTGGCAAACACTTTTCAAACTATCATTGTATTTTTTTCGTACATCAGTTCTCAGATTGTTACGTACATCTGTAATTGCTTGAGTCAAATTAATGAAAAAGTTACGCAGACGAGAGATAAATATATTATTATCTACCACGAGGTTTGATGTTAATTAATTTTTTTGGACCCAACTTGGACCCACCCAGTACTATTAGTGTAAATTTGGTAAATTTTAAACCTTTAATTACACCGGCGTTCACATATAGTTATTGCTAATAATTTTTGTGTACGTGTGCGATAAAATACTTAATTGTGTTTGTTATTTTGTACTGATGATTTCAATTTAATTTTTTTTTTTAATGATAAGTAATAAAATATTTCAATACCTAATTGTTCAACTGATACTGTTGTTTCATTATGTATGTAATATAATTAACACCGAATTGAAATATTTGTTTTGCTTTGAAAATAAGATTACTTAATTTACGTAATATTTAAAAAAAAAATATATATATATATAG